AAAACGAACCATGGGCATAGTTTTACTGTAGCCGCTAGAAGGCGCTCGCTAATGTACCTGTAGTGTATTAAAATGAACGAAAAATTTTCTTAGTGCAATTTTTTGCTTTTCGACGTAAAAAAGCTCTCTTGTGAATTTTCGTTATAGTTAGCCGTTTTTCAGATATTTCGATTGTTAAGGTTCGATGCATTTTTAATTATTTATGGGAAAATAATATTTTTTTACATTTTCGATTTGGGCATAACAAGTAATTAAGATGATCGTTTAGATTGTGTTTTTAAACAGCAATAATTCCTAACTCCAAATAAACACAAAAAAACAGAATATTAATTTGTTTAATTTTAAACTCACCTGTATCAGAGGTTGTCTGTTTTGAAGATCTTCTTTCAACGCCCTGTATAATTGTAATGTCACATAGCCTTGATGAGTGGGACTCTCGGATATCAGCTGTATCGTCGAACTGATGACGTCATCTCGTATGTAATTTCCAGCCTATAATAAATATGGTCAAGTATGGTAATTCCTAGGCATTAATATCCAATCAGTTTTCGTGGCTTCATTTGCCCAATGTGTCTGAAGAAACTAACAACGTAAAAAGTGCTTAACCTCCCCAATCAGATCGCGAATTCTTGAATACGATGAAGTCGATTGAACTTTCAAAAGTTCTGATACTTTTTAGAAGAAATCCTTTACAGTATTTAATAAGAAAACTCACCGCGACCAAAACTTTCAACAATGTGTCTAATCGCCATCTTCTAGTAGGAGCATAGCGTTCCGTCGCTAGTACTATAGAACTAGAGCAAGGTGCTTTGAACTCCGGATCGGCCTTCTCCAAGAAATTCACCAGCTCTTTGGTCATAGTCCGAAGTTTTGAGAATTGATCAACGCAAATGATAGTTCCATTGCTCGACGACGTATCGATACATCCGGGTCCTATTCATAAAAGAAAAATATTACAATGTGTGCTAAATAGATTCTACTTCAAGCTTCTACCAAAAAGTAGTTATACCAAGAAAATACACTTCCGCACCTCCCAAAAAAGCGCCCTTGGTGTGGCGATTCTCTCATCGTTAGCTCGGCATCTACCGAGGCAATGTCGCCAAGGTGACAAAGAATATTTAGATTTAGAAAGTGTTTATTCCAAAGTTTTTGGCGGTTACACTATAATGGCATACGAAATCAATGAACAGATTGCTTTAACAGTACTACTTGCGGAGCTGAACCTCCCTAGGGTAATTGCACACTGTACAAGTGAATGCCTAACGCGTGCTGCTACTGAACACACACATTAATTCTGTAACACAGGATCATTTAACACAGACTGTTGACTTTGTAGTTGTATCCTGAGGCATTGCATGTTTCATATCGGAGATCAACAAGAAAACTCAAATCGCACGCACATGACAGGCAATTGTCATACTGTCAGTGACAAGCATACATGCGGAACACTCATACGCTGGAGAGAAAATATTTAAGGCGCTGAAAGAAAACTAAAACAACGTATGTCTGTGAGCTGACAGAAACAAACGTGCCCGCATAGAGACCTATTGAACATGTGTGTGAGGGAGATAGATGTATGAAAGTTTTCTGTGGTTTTACCGTTTTATTGTAACCCGCCAAAAATCAAAAGACACATAACAGTTGTCTAATTGATTCATATTTCCTACATTTAGTGTCCAAAATATGATGCACACTATTAGAAAATATTTGACTCATAACTAATTAAGCTTTCAAGAAGACTATTTGCTATGGGATCTATTGGTTAAAACGTGCAGAATGATCAATATCGACTATCTTTGTATTCATAACATAAAAAATGAATGAAAAATTGATGAATACCATGAATAAATGTCCAAACAAAAGTGAAACATGCATAACAGAGAGACAATGAATTCATCCAAAAAGGATTATGTATCTGGCAACAACATGGTATTTATCTCTGAGCAAATAAAAACACTTGTTTGGACGCCGTTGAGGTCCTGGAGATAAAGCACAGGATTTCGTTATAGGTCCCACGCTTTTTATAATATTCATAAATGACCTGGGCCTCTGTAACTCTCAGAGTAACTTCCTGTATGCAGATTATACTACACTAGAGAGTGGTAACACTGCTGATGAGATTTGAACCCTGTAGATAATAATGGCAGCAGCGGTGGCTGCAGTGGTAGACACTTCGTCTCCTAATCAGTCGCCGTGCCAAGAGAAGGTTTCTCTTGGCTATGGATGTTGTTATTGTCCACAGGTGGTAGACGGTCTCCGACTGTCGCACGCCGAGGTACCATCCGGCGGATCTCGTATGTGGGCCAGAATATATGCATGCTGCACATGTGTTCCCTCGCTAGACACCGTGTGGTATCCCCCCTTTTCCCCTGTATCCCCTATAGCCCCACGATACGCCATGGGTGTTTAGGCCTTGGGCCTTCGTGGTAGCTGAATAAAAAAATGTAAAAATTAAAATTTGGTTTCCTGAACAAAGCTAAAACTCATACCATGGAATTTCACTTTGAAGAATTTTAAAAACGACAACGAGTTAGTAGTAAAGATGTTGGTTTTGCACGTAGCTAGCCGTCCCTCATGGTATGAACACACTTATCAATTGCTTCTAAAGTCAACACAGCTATTTGAATAACTTGTGGGGTGTTATTGTGGGAACACTCAGTCAGCTCCTCAGAAGTGTTTGCTGCCCAGATGAAATGCATCAGGGTCACCTCGAACACGCACTCTAGGAACGATTGAATTGAACAATTTATTTCTCTGGGTGTATTAACACTACCTTGAGCATACATCCTGGAGTGCCTGGTACATGTCAGGAATATCTTTGATAACTATGGCAGGAAGCTCAGGTTCCAGAGCTATGACACTAGATACTGTAATGATATGCCTATTCCCTACAGTAGGATCAACATATCCAGGGATAGGCATAATTATTACTGTATCATGTTCTTTAATGTTCTTCTTCCCGAGTCAGTTAAACTTTTGAACATTGCATCGTTTAAAGCCTTTTATAGTATTGACAACTTTCTAGTCAATGACGTCAGTGACGTATAATGATTATATTTTTTCTTTATATATATATACATATTTTAGTGTAATTGCGTGTGATTTGAACTTGTCTGTATTTTATTTTTTAATGTGTCTGGTTTGTTTGCTAGTATTAATGAGAGAGACGTAACCATGTTTTTGCTTACATCTCTCTCTCTCTAATTTCATTGTCTGCCTTCTCTTAGTATAACTACCATTTGCTTGTATCATTATATATAGAAGCAACTCCTTTATGCAGTGGTGGAAGCTTGTAAATAATGGTTGATTGTTCCAATTTAACGATTTTCCATAGTATGTTAGCATTTATGTACACTATACCTTGAGGCATTCCAAAACTGTAGCCCTATGTCTTTGAACCGCTGCTGAATCCACGTGTACAGTCCTCAAGAGTGTATTCAGCGCCACGTAGCGGATGTTTTTGTCATTATTCAATAGGAATCGACCAAGAATATTTACCGCCAATACCTGTAACAAAATTACGAAAAAATATGTAAGAAATACACAGCCACAAAAATAAATGCTTACCCTTAAACCACCCTCTGATTTGATATCCATTATAGATAGGACAGTTTCATATAAAATGGTGTTGCCGACATTTTTGCTAGTTTCTGTATTGGTCGCCACTTGGGCAAGTATGTCGTTCATTGCTTCTGATGTGTCCACGTCGTTGATACCCAGCACCCGCAAAAGTTTCAAGATCTTCACCTAAAAACAATTCGGAAGTTGACAAAGATGTCTGATTTCTGGTTGATTTGTATCATGCTATGGATTAAAGAAAGTCTGTCTTGGTGTAAAAAATAGTAATTGCAACACCTAATCCAAATTTGGATTGGCAAACCATCCGTAAATTCGGCTATAAGGTCCACTTACCTGTAGAAATGGATCACTAATACCAGACACATCATGTTCAGGGGAGTAACCGGCTAAAATTAGATTTTTCAGTATCCGTACAAGGTTTGGCACTATCTGTAAAAATTATAAAATTGTGTCAATGGTCTTTTTCACGAGTATTCATTACTGAGGTGAACAGATGTTCAGCAAGTGGCGTCTTTGTACTAAAGTTTGTAGTGTTGGCAATAATTAATCAGCACGGGTATTACGAGTATTGAAAAGGACATTTCGTCTTTTTTATATTTCGTAGGTTTTTTGACGGTTTTTGTTCGTGAGCTGGCGTAAGGCCTTAAAGGGTGATCACTCGTGACAATATGTTGAAATCTTACTAGATATTCATCTGTTTATTGTTGCCATGTTTTGCGTAATAAATAGTTGTGAAAAGACTAACAAATTATTAATTATGTAAGATATAAGTTATGTTTTCATAAGCCATTCATAGATTTTCCGTCAAAATGTTCTTTGCGAATAAATAATACGTTTCGAGAAGTTTGTGCGATCTTCACAGTCTACTTCAGTTTTTGTCGAAATATTCATGTTAAGGAAACATAAACTAAACGTATTCTGCTAATTTTTCAAGAAGTAGGTATTGTTGCAAAATAGTCAAAGTAACATCCTCAAACAATGCGTTATAAGTAATAATTGAATTTATTCATGTAAAACCATTAGATTATATGAAATCATGCCTATATCTTCAAACATCACAACAGATAAAAATACATTTTGTCACAAACAACAATGGTATGCAATACTAATGTTAATACATGCCTGATGTGAATAACAAATTGACTAATTCCTCATCACTTTGCTGATACTTTATGAATGGATTGAAAAAATTACCACCAATAGAAAAACAAAGTTTTGAGTTAAGTTTGCAGTACAATATATACTTACTTTTTTGAAATGATTCAGGGTATCTGGACTGTTTACGCACATTTCTGTTATCAGCGTTACTCCAGTTATCAGTACACCTGAAACAATCGGATATTGGAGTCAATAATAAGAAATCATTTTATCGGAAGATATTATAACCAGCTATTTGCTGCTAGTGATTGTTCAAAAATGTATAATCACTTACCATGATTCTTCTCAGAGAGCATGCTTCTGGTGGCAGGCAAGAACATTTCCATGAGCTCAGGAACCCTCCTGACTATTCTGAACGCACATAGAGCCGCCTTCTTACGAACGACGCATTAGGAGACTTCATCAGTCGCTCGACTTCTCCAGCCAAGTCCCTGGCCATCTCTGGGGATGCAATTGCGCCCAAAGTACACAAGGCTAGGCCCACGACGAAACTGAGTGGTCGAGTTCAAGTCACTATAATGATAAATCATATTTCAGTTAAATTTCAATGGTAAAAGTTACAGGGTGTAAGAGGTGGGAAAGTTCCATTTCAACTTTGAATTACGCGGCAACCGTATACGCGAGGAAGTGGGGAGAGGTCTTGATAAGTTAAATAGTCACAATGGACGTTGGACCGGAGCGCAACGTGTTTTTGCTGTCGCGGCTTACTTTCAGAGTAGACTCACAACAACATTTCGCCGACCAAGACATTTTTTTTTTTATACTCCAACTACCACGAAGGCCTAAGGCCTAAGCACCCATTGGGTACCGTGGGGCTATAGGGGGATACATGGGAAAGGGGGGACGCCACACGGACTCTGGCGAGGGAACACGTGTGCATGCAACATGCACACATTCTGGCTCCACCTACGAGAACCGCCGGGTGGTACCTCCGCGTTCGACAGTCAGAGACCTTCTACCACCTACGGACAATCACAACATCCATAGCCAAGAGAAAAATTTCTCCTGGGACGGGACTCGAACCCGCACAGCGCACGCGAACTGATCAGGAGACCGAAGAGTCTACTACTGCGGCCACCGCGGCTGCCATGCTCCAAATAAGAACTTATTGAAAAGTAGATTAAGAGGTTCCGTAAAACAGGCTCTACTCTTAGTCAACCCATTCCTGGCTCCACACCTACTGTATCAACCGAAGAAAATGTGCGTCGACTTGGTGATTCGGTCATTGCAGATCCTCGGCGTTCTGTACGGAAGCATTCGTCTGCTTTGGAATCCCTAGGTCAACACTGCTTGGCATAATGAAGAAAAAAAATGTGCTTTTCATCCATATAAAATCCAATCAGTCCATGCTTTAAAGGAAAGTGATTACGTATTACGGAAATCTTATGCTGAATGGATGTTGAATCTTTTTCTTAAGCAGCGCAGACTCGAGGACGTTGTTCCTAGCGGTATTTTTACTCCTATTGTAAAATTGCAATAGTGAAAATGAGAATTTTTTCATTTGACCACTACTGAAAAAAATCTTGCAAAATATTTGTTCTAGTTGTATTTTTCAGGTTATTAGTTGTTTTAAGTTTGTCAATAAGAATCAAATATGAGCAATAGCTCTACAGACTACAAAGTATATTTATCTATCTATTGTAAGTTCATAAAAAAAATATATTTTCGTCAATAAGTGTCTGCATCCTTTTCTCATTTTCAGGAAGGTGTATAAACTTAATACTACTCTTTGATTCTCCTCAACTATGATTAAGAGTAAGACTTACTTCTTCAAACAATTTGTGATCAGCAAGTGCACATCTTGTCTTTCATCCAACAGCAGCATGGCTCCCAAGTATCCTATGCGTTTATCTGTGAACCTTGAACTGGCAATCAATTTCAGGCATTCTAGCTGACCAAAATGAGCTGGATAGCCCAGCATGTGGATGTAAAGTAGCTTTGCTATGTTCCTACATCTGAAACAAATGATTCACATCGAAAATGACGTCCACTGCTGTTTATCATGTAACAGTTGTAAAAAAAACTGTATGGTATATCAAAAATAACACAAAATAGCATTGATTATATATTCTCTAAGCTATCCAACCATATGCTGTATTTGGTATGTTTCTAAGTCGATGTGTAGTAATTCCCTTTGAAGTAATTAAAACGACTCCATTTTCCTTTTAAAGAAAATCGTTTTATCTTAAAAATGACATGAACCTTCAAGAAAAGAGCACCCCATCAAGGGTAGGTATATAGTTGTATGTATAAGTGGCCTTTAACTAAAGTGAATATCTTCTGGTAGAATATGCTAATCAATTCTCATATACATGATGTCCCATTTTAATCTACCCACCTCTATATTTCGAAAACTACACATTCTAGAAAAAAGTTGTAGGCTCTAGAAGGTCAATTAAATACATTGCAAGCAATTTGTTTCTAGTATCAAAATGAGTGGTTTTCTTTGGAAATCTTGGTTTGACCTTGAAGGCAATGATCATGGCCACCTTTGAGTGATCACAAACTCACAACACATTTTTGCTAGAGTAAATTGTTTTCGATGGCTTGATTTTACCCTGAAAGAGCCTTGAAGGCAATGGTCAAGGTCATGTCCAAGGCAATTTTTTAATGTAAATTTGTACCTCTGTTCAATTGTGATCTGGAAAAGGGGGATTCCATTTGAAAATATTCCCTTGACCTTGACAGAACCTTGAACTTCATAGTAAGACTAGTCAAATCCCCACAATTTTGCCCCCTTTGAAACATTACAACTTTTGTTTGTAACTGTTTCCTAGAATGCATTGTTTTCGAAACATTTAGGTGAGGAGATTATAATGGGATAATGTGTATAACAAAATGTTACCAAACCCACACATTTTATATCCTTGGCATGCATAAAACTTCTGACTTTGACTATGTTAATTAGGGCAGCAGAATTAGAATGACATTATTACGAAGCAAGATGGTATTCTGACCTCCAAACCGAGTCCTTCCTCTCTGAAAGTTGATCTAATGTAGGCGCATTCTTTGTTGACCACACTGCGCTCTTCAGCTGCTGTTCTTGCTGCTCTGATCTGCCTGATCGATCTCTGAGGCGCATCGGAGTCGGCATAACGGACTACAAGAAATAAGACAAGGATATTCAAGACATTAAGCTCTCATAGGACAAAAGAGAAGAGAAGAGAAAATACAAGTGGTGTGCTGCATTTTGGGAATGACATGGTATAAACCTTGAGAAACATGACTAGTCTATTTTAAATGGGGACATTTCTCAATTTGAAATGTGTACTAACTGTTTCTATGACATAACTAAACATACAACAAATCTTGTTGATGATAAATTCTACTCAAAAAAAATGTTTTTCCATTTCTAATTATTTTAATAGAATGTAAAAATGCTTAGCAGCTTTGAGTCCTTAATTTTATAGCATTTACTGCAAAATCAATGTGAACCTTTGCCTATGATTCCTTGTATGCTCTAGATCAGGACTTAAAATCAATAAACAAAATCGATATGACACGATAAATTGCCAGATAACTACTAACAATAAAAAATGTGTAACACTCAACAAATATCAGTAGGCAAGAGAGGAACAAACCACAAAATAAATCCATCAAGTATTTAACATGGATATATCAACTGATGACTACAATACCATGTACAAACAGTGGTTTAAATCTGCATAAGTTGGTAGTTCAGTTTTGTAAGAAAGTGAATAAGATATTTTCTTTATTTGTTTTATTTTCTTTGGTTTATTATCATACTCACCTACTTTCACAGATAAAGCCAATCTCTGCCAAATACTTATAAGTGTGAAGTTACAATTTAGATTTTTTTATAGTTATGCAGTTTGAGTCTCTGTTTGGTATGAATTAGCTATGATGATATCAACCTATATTTTTGAAAGAAGGATATTTAAACAATCATGTAGAGATATTGAAATAACAACTAAAACTGCACCTGCATAACTGAATACAAGCATTGAAGTATCTTCTATATGAACTCATATTCTATTATCAAAATCAATAAAACATCAACCAGACTAAACATACATTATCAGTAGCATTATCAGTACTCAAAATCATAAAGGAAGTAACAGCAAAAATATAACTGATTATTAGATGTAGTTTTGTATATGGAGGATGAGAAATTCAAGGTTATTTCTACAAAAAGAAAGATGTATTCTAATAAGTCTCATTTAATGGATGAATGATGAAGTAAAAAACAATAATGCTTAATTGGAAAATCAGAAAAAAGTGTTTTTGATCTCTAAAATCATTATTATGGATGTTTACATTAATAATAAGTAATAATTAACACATCTATTATCAACAAAATTATATTACCACTGTCAAAATTAAAAATGTACTTATTTAAATATTTCAAAGATAAGCTTGATGAGCAGTGGTTTTCAATCTGCTAGATTATAGCACGTGCTTTTCATGAACAATATAGAATCTAATCCAATAAAAAATCCTGTTGTTACTAACATCATTTGGTTGTTGTTCCTCGTAAGGCAACAAATATACAAATTCCCATTTTTTTTTTTTTAGTTAAATTCAAAACATTTTGCCATTAGTAGTGACTCTGAAGGTTGTATTAAGGTATAAGTTCATATATTCATATATATTTATACTGGACTTGTGTGCGATAATATCTCTTGGCATGGTCTCCTTCTAACCCTACTGGACATTTTGTGTTGAGTTACTATTTTGCACAACACAAAGTGCTTGCATAAATGAACACTAAGAACCTCTCAAATCTACAGTATACTGCATAAAGTAGAAATAAATATTTTAATGGTCCACTAAACATGTCTAGTCCAAGGAGTGGTAAAATTTATGTTGATTTGCCATACTTTGTGTGAACAAGCTGTTTAGTTTTTGTGAATTACACAAGCTTTAAAATTCCCAAGGGGCTTCACCCTGTTTCAAACAAAGCGGAAGGATGTTTACAGTTTACTTATAGGGAACCAGCTGACATGGACTTTCCTTCTAATTACCATGATAATAAAAAATAAAAAAAAACGATATAAAAGATTACAGGTTCAGTACTTTAGTCTGGCATACCATAGATCACAGGGTCTGTTGTTTGGGGTGCACAGTGGTATTATGATACTGAAAACAACTTACCTCTTTCAATAGCCTCATTGACAACCTGCTTAATTGTAGCCATGTTAAATGCGGGGTTAAACCTAAAATGTAATCGTGTCAGTAAAGAAAAGGTCATTGCATTGATGAAAAAAGGTTTACCCATGCTCGGAGGCATTCATTTTTAGTTATTTGTGGACAGACACAGGAGATTCTGATTCGCGTTTTCGACACGTACACAAAACACCATTGCGAATTGTTCTTCTACTAGTATGATAGTTTATGACTTAAATTACGAGATTTCACTGGAATTTCCGCATTCGGGACGATTTAACACAGAAAATCACCTGTTCTTCCCTTTACACCTTAATCCCTAATTTGACAGATGACACCTACAATCTATATCACAACTAAATATGCGGAATGCATCGACTAAGACTAAATGCAGCTTTCAAGCAAATCTTTCAATTAAATGCACCATCAAAATAAAACTAAAAAATTCAATAAAACCGATTTAAAATTAAGAGTTGTTTAAATTTTTCTGACCGTCACATCGACCAGTTGACGTTTTTCACAAGAAAACAACATGGCCGAATGCCGGAGGAACAGTGTTGCGAAGTTATTTCAAAGAATTTCCTGAAATTGAAATTACCCGGAGGTCAATTTTTGAAAACGAAGGAGCAAATCAACTAAATATAAAGCGGTCGTGGTACTGTTACTTTTTGAGGAATTGTATTATTTGGTATTGATACAAGACTGGTTTCCATAATCATTTATCTTGAGGAAATAGAATATCCAGCAGATGCGCGAATAATTACATTACGGAGTGAAAAACTCCATTTATAAACAAATAATCATATGACGTCATCAACACGATAGGTACCTAATCAATTCCAAAAGTTAACGAGCTTAATTTCTGATTTCTGCTGAAACTGTAGTACTTTAGGCAAACCCAGCTGACGGCGGTCTAACCAGTGACGTCACAAGGTGTCCGTGTCTCCGTTTGCGTGGGCCGTAAACTTCAAATTTGAATCCCTCGCCCACTCAATAATCCTTTATAATGTAATTGACTTCTAAATCAGGAACGGAAGCATTAGAATACAATGAACGCCCAGAGTAGTCGCAAATCCGGTTTATCTACACGGCACACACTATTTGATTTCTAAAACCACTGACGTCTTGATGTTTTGTGGTTGTATCGCACAACAACAGGCGCAGTACGCAACTGAATTTCATTCATGTTCCTGCTGAACTTGAAATTTGGAAATTCAACAGATTGAAGTAGCATAAAAATTGTTCTGATGGTTTATTGCGGGAAATTTTGCATAAAAATAACTTTTATAATAACTCTCCAGATGAAAAGTTACTTCGTATTGCGACACTGCAGTTGGCTATAATGAGAAATTTTTAACAAAAATACTTACCTCCTGTTAGCTTCTGGGGGTAGTACACTCCAATCTGATTCATAATAAGGATACATTCCGCCGTTGTTCATTCCTTAGATTTTTTATTGTTGTAAAGCAGGATGTACGTTAAAACATACGACACGCATGGTTAACAGGTATAGGGAAAATATGTCACGATAAGGATATAAATAATAGATAAGAAAGTTACACATTTTATTATCAATTTGTATTTATCTACTGAAATGGAGTCTGATAACGAAGAATATGCGACGAGAACTTTTTCTTCATCGATTATATACGAGGGTATTTAAACTTTAGCAGAATTTTCTTTGTGTGAGCTTTCCATCTTTATTGAACTATAGTGTTGGAATTCGGAAGCTAAAGAGCATTATTTACTCCCACATGGCACGGGTATCACGTATATGCTACACTTATTATCTACCTTTTCCACCTGTTCCATCACCATATTGTCGAAACTACGAATCAAATAACTTGTCGCTGATCTTGAATTTGTTCCTAGACTACATTTGATTTTCACAATTGGGGATCAGACAATTTTCAAGAGGTAACCCACTTTCGGCCATTTGTATCCATATACAACTTTGACACAATTTTGACAAGCTATATCAGTGATACAAAATTGTAAATAGTGAGTGTGCAATGACTCGGAGAAAGAAAAAGGATGAAGATGAGACTGTAAACATTAGTTGTGATTCTATCATATCAACGCAAGAAACATATGAGTACTTGAAAAAAAAATTATTACAACAGGAGTTGTTAGAAAAAACGAAAGATTTAGAAACTCGTCAAGCATTACTTTTGGGAAAAGAAACATTAATATACCACCTATCAAACAAAAACCGCAGATTTCAAGAACAGTACGATCTTATTTCATCAAACATCGTCGATAGGGACTGTATAGTAACACACTCGAGAAACTCTCTAGGAGAATTATTGAGAAGTTAGAGGAGACATCAACAACAAAAAATTCCACATATGCCCAAGCAGTTATAAATTCATCATCAAAGAGTAAAGAAAGGACACTTAAAAGTCTTATCATTACCCCCGAACAACAACAGTCTAATTACAGAACTAAGAATGAGCTGAGCAGAAATTTGAATTTATCAAAAATAAACATCAAATTGAAACTGTTAAGAACTCTAAAAATTGTGGTATTGAATTATATGAGAAGAATCTGCCATCAACATATAGGTATAATATCCGAACCGAAAATGTTTAATCCTAAAATATAGATTGTTGGCTACCACTCTGAAGAAAAACTTCAAGAACGTGAAATAGAAGAAGATAATTATTATGCGACAAATCCACTTTATAATAAAAGGGTGTCAGGTAAACTATTCAGACAAATATTTGATAATAATGGAGGAAAACTTTAATTGGTTTTCAAAATTTATGAGTATATCCTAATATTGAGGTAACTCAGTGTACAAATTGCTCCAAGTTTAATTACTCTGGTGAGAAATGCAATAGTCATAAAGTATGCTTCAAATATGGAAAAGAACATGATGTTGAATGACTGAATGAATCTTAATTTAGAGGCATCCCGGCCACCATAAGGAGCCAGTGCATAGGCCGCTTAAGCGGGCCCTTATGCACCTCTACATACTTAAATCACTAAACACAAGCCCGCCTTTTAGCGAAGTTGAGAATCGCCTTGAGTCCAAGCTCCTTTACGTCCTGAGGGTCCAAAGTAATGGACCCCAGTATAGTCTGCCTATAGTAGCTCAGAGCTTCACAGCGACACAAAACGTGCGCCGAGGTCTCTTCCTCTACTCCGCAGCGTTCGCACAAGGGATCCTCAGCCACCCCCATCACGTGCAGGTGCCGCCTTAACGTGTTATGGCCAGACAACAGTCCCACCAGCAACCTTAGGTTGGCTCTACCCAGAGATAGGCAGAAGCGTCCATCCTTAGCACTGGGCCCTTCAATGAGCTCTCGTGCCTGGCGGAGATGTCTAGAGATACTTCTCCATTTCTGAGAGTGTTGTCTTGCAACCCACGTCTCCATTTTCCTCCTAGCTTTATGCGCGGTTACTCCTAGAGCTGGCTCAGGACCAACGAGCTTGCTGGCTGATCCTGTTTTCGCCAGAGTGTCCGCCGTCTCATTGCCCCTTATCCCAGCGTGCCCCGGTACCCATATTAACGATACCGGATGCCTCGCTGCGAGGCAATCCAGAGCCTCCCTGCATTGCAATACAAGACTCGAAGAAGTAATCTTACATGCACTTAGTGCTTTCATTGCAGCCTGGCTGTCGGATAAGATTGTTATTCTTCTCCTAGGCCCACCCTCCTCCAGAATGTGAGATACACAAGCCAGAATCGCAAAGATTTCCGCCTGGAAAATGGTGGTGTACTCACCGAGAGGCAGAGATAGCCTAGTTCTAGGTCCAGAGACCCCAGCACCTGAGCCCTCTTCGGTGACCGAGCCGTCCGTGTACCAGACCTGCCCGCTCACTTCGGAGAGTCCTCGGCTACCGGCGTCCCACTCCTCCCTCGTTGGGTACTCCACAATGAACTTGCGGTTGAAGCGATATTTAGGGGTAATACGATCACCCCTGCTTAGAAGGACGGGGTCCTCCCTTCTAATTCGACTAATATGGCAGTATGCCCCTTGACCGGATTCAAGAAAGCCCAGCTGCCCTGACTCCACAGTCGATGAGCGACTACTCTCGCTTCACCGCGGATCACCAGATCCAACGGTGGGAGATCCAACAGAGCTTCCATTGCACTCAATGGCGTTGTTCGCACTGCGCTTGTAATGCTAATACAGGCCAAACGCTGAATTTTATTGAGTTTGGCCTTAGTTGACTCACTCAGTTCTAATGCAAGGCCACCAGACCAGGGAGCCGTACAAGAGAGATGGACGTACTATCGTCGTGTAGAGCCAGTATACCACTTTGGGTTTAAGCCCCCACCTTACACCGACAACACGTCTACAAGCCCACATCGAATTGCGAGCCTTGCTAACCTTGTGTTCCACATGCTCTCTCCAGTTCAGTTTGCAGTCCAGGATAATTCCCAGATATTTCACTGACTGGGACAAAACTAATCTAGTCCCAAAGAAGGTAGGCATGACCAGTCCGTCAAGCCTTCTTCTCCTAGTGAATAGGATCAGCTCGGTCTTTTCAGCATTAACAGAAAGATCGACTTCCCTACACCACGATTCCACGGAGCGCAGAGCGCCCTGCATAATTTCCGAGACTGTTCTACAGAAACGCCCCCTAACCACTATGCTTACGTCATCAGCATAGGCTTGCACGTAGACACCCATACTGTTGAGCCTAACGAGCAGTTCGTTCACCACGATACACCACAGTAGGGGTGACAGAACTCCACCCTGAGGGCAGCCTCTAGCTACGTTCACGCTGCAGCTTACGTTATTCAGCATAGCTGTTGTTACCCGACCCTCCAGAGTAGAGAGGACCCAATCTATTAGGATTGATCCAACCCCGTGTCTAACCAAGGCCTGTCTGATAGAGTCGGTTGTGGTGCAATTAAATGCACCTTCAATATCTAAGAAGGCCACGAGTGCCACTTCTCGCTGATCTAGAGTCTTCTCCAGCCTCCCAACCAGATTGTGTAAGGCCAGATCAGTCGATTTTCCAGCTTGGTATGCAAACTGATTTGCATGAATGACACACCTTTCCAGTGGGCCATCCCTTAGGTATCTATCAACTATCCTTTCCAGGGTCTTAAGCACAAAAGATGAAAGAGTAATCGGTCGAAAATCCTTCGGGCCAGTATATCTATCTCTGCCCGGTTTAGGAATGAATACCACTTTAGCCTGCCGCCAACTTCTAGGTGTGAAGCCCGTGGCCACACATGCTCGAAACACATTCAACAGGTAAGGAACAACCGAAATCCGTCCCTGCTGTAACATGGCCGGAAATACGCCGTCCAGACCTGGACTTTTGTATGGGGCAAACGAATCTACTGCCCATACCGTCCTTTCGAAGGTGACAATCTCCCTTGCCGTGCGCCAGTCCTCCCTTGCCTGCGAACCTGTGGAGTCGCGAAAGTGCGTATCCATCAGAAGCCTCAGAGTATCTTCCTCGGAAGTAGTGTTCCCCCCGAGGGATCATGCAGAGATCCCAATCTTGCTTTATGTCTTTGCATAGGACTCTGTGTATTCTTGCAGTAGCAGGAATGTCATTTATGGACTGACAGAAGTGCCTCCAGGATTCTCTGGAGGCCCTTCTAATCTCCTTTTTGTACTCCTGCAATGCCTTTTTGTATTCTTCCCATAGAGGAGAACCTCTCCTGTGCTTAACTCTGCTAAGAAGTTTGTGCACCGCTCGTTTTCTATCCTCTAAATCTTTGGTCCAGAAGGTTGCCTTGCCCTTACCTTGTACTTTGCGTAACGGGCAGTTTTCCTCATATGCGGCCGTCAAGTCCCTGCTCAGAGACTCGACAGCTGCTTCTATGTCAGAGCCCCTGCCAAGCCTGTATGGGACCGCTCCAAGCTTACTGTCAATGTCTGCCCTAAAGGACCCCCATCTAGTATGCCTGGGATTCCGAGCATATTTATCCGGAATCTCTCCATCAGTCTTGAACAGTATATACCTGTGATCCGATAGAGAGGGTGTTAGAGACACTTTCCAGTCCCTGATGTCCTGAGCTAAGTTAAGCGTGCTCAGTGTTACGTCGATAACCTCTTCTCTTACACTATTGCTGAAAGTGGGCATGTTACCGACATTCAGAACCTCAAGGTTCGATGCCCCAAGAAACTCCATCAGGTCTTCGCCCGTCTGTTGGTGTTCGAGCTGCCCCACGCAACGTGATGGGCATTACTGTCGCATCCAATCACAAGGTCGAGTCCAGAATCCCTACAGAATGCGACAAGGTCCCCCATTTCCTTAGACGGAGGAGGGTCTCTTGAATCGTAAGGAAGGTAAGCCGAACAAACAACCAAGTCCCTGTCACTGCCTTCCTTCTTATATCTAATTCTGACTGCAACTAAGTCTCTGAATGTAAATTCTTTAAGTTGCCATGAGTTGACGGAAGTCATTACGCAAGCTCTGGGCTTAGTGTCCGGAGTATCGCTAAAAAGCGTATAGCCCGGTATACTAAGCCCGTTTACTGAACCGTTTCTCAGCCAGGGTTCCTGGATGAGAGCCACGTCATGTCGGCCTCGAGTGATCTCCTGAGTAAGGGCCCTCGAAGCCGCTATGCAGTGTTGTAAGTTAATTTGGATGAAATTAAAACTTACCATGGATGTTGAGAGGCCCTTCCTACACCTTCCCGAATGACGGTATGTAACCCCTATTCGGGCGTACCGCCGTCGCCGCCGCAGTCTCTGCCACAGCCGCCTTCATCTCCGCTTCCACGGAGGAGTTCTCGGACTCGGTTCAGGATTCCATCCTCGTCCGAGTCGCTATCGTTTTCCTCTGGGACCAGATCCATCGCAGGGTCCGCCACGATGTTTTCTGCGGATATCCCGCTTGGACCCGCCGCCTCCACGTCCGTAGCCTCCGGTGGCTCCAGCGAGAGCTGACCCGGCCGACCCATCCCCTGTGAAGGAGCCTGGTCTACCGCCACAGCTCCCGTCGGTCTGGGCTGGTCCGACTCCTGGTTTGGAGCCAGGCCAGTTCCAGCAGGTGTCGCTCCACTGCTCTTCTTCTTGCTCAGGAGTGTAAACACCCCCGAACTTCCACCGCAACACAGCCTGTTGCCGTTACCTACAATGACCTTCCAGCTTATGGAATCAACTGAGAGGACAAGTCGGACACCTATCGGCTCTTCCTTCCTCTCAAGTAGCCTCCACGCGCTGGGAAAAGTCCCAGGATTGTGCCTCCTGAGTCTCCTCGTGATGACCCGTTGTCCAGGTTGGGACCCGGAAACCAGGCCATCACGCGGTGGTATATGGGAAGGTCTCCAAAGCTCATCGTAATGAGCCTTGCGCCTTCCCACGGCCGCAGATCCCCCACGTGGGCCTCCAACCATGCCCTAGAGGATTCGTCCTCGCAGACAAAGATGGCTGCCCCTCGAGAGAGGGTAGCAGTCAATGTACCTGGGAAGGGTCACCTCATCTGGGATCCCATCTATCAGCACACTGACCGCCTCCTGGACCTGCTGCACCTGTACATTAGTAAGTTGAGTCCCAGGATAACCGTCGGACACGACGGCCACCCTGAGACCCGCTTGGGACGCTCGCGCATAACTAATTTGCGCATGCGTCGCAGTGCGAGGCTTCTTCCGCGAGGATGCGCCCTCCGGTGTCCCACCGGCAGACCTCTGCCGCTTCCCGTCACCGGGCCGCTTTAGGGTCTCCGCTGACACACCGGATTGCGCACCGTCTAGCCCAGATGGCGGTTGGGTCCGTCCAGCCGGGGTCCCAGAAGTGGTGCCCCGACCTTCCGAGCCCTCCGTCATCTGCGCCTCTCTCCGCTTCCGAGCCCTTTTCCTTTCGGAACCTGGCCGAGACTTCTTCTTAATCTTTAGAGAGCCCACCCTTTCCGCTAGCTCTCTCGCTAAGCTTCTGACAGATTCCTCTGTCAGAGTACGATCAGGGTCCCCTGGTGAGGGGTCGCCTGGATGTTCGGGGTCCCCTGTAGGGGGGGCCTCGGGTTTTTTATTATTTTTTATCGTTTGGTTCCATAATGTTCCCACGAGTATAGGGGAAGTGGTGATCGACGTCCGCGGTGCCCCTACACGGACGCAAGGCTGGATACTCTGGGAGGTCGCCCGGTGTCCCAGAGGCTCCGTTTAAGACGGTGCATCCCCACCGCCACGCACCCCTCGGCACGGAATCGCTTAACACCTTGGGTTGGGTAACGTACCATTGCCCATGATGACCGTTGAGCTGCAGGCGTCCCAGATATACATCCGAGACACCTGTGGCTCAACGAATCATTCGATTGGCCGGGCTACCGGCTTTCCGGCGGGTCTCCTCAAAAACTAATCGAGGCGGTCCACCGCAAGACCGGCACCCCGTTGCCCCCCCTACACGGTCGCACACGGTTCAGCGCCCAAGGCCGCCCCGCAGAACGAACTCGAGGACGTACGGGGGGGATGTAGGGGGAATGAGAATAAGAAGAATAAGAATAGAAGAATAAAATAATAATAATAAGAAGACGAATGATAAGAAAAAAGAAGAACAATTAGGATGAGGAAGTAGAATAGATAATAATAATAAGAAGATTTATAAAAATAATTATATTATAATAAGATAAAATAAATAATAATTATAATATAATAATAATACTAATAATTGTAATAACATAATAATAATAATATATAATTATTATTATATTATAATATA